AAATAAAAACTTGTAGAAAAACTTCTGAAACGACTACTATCATCAGTAACACATACACATCTAAATCCCTTCCAATTCAAACTGGAATCTCGATTTTGATAACTTTGATATAAATTATTAGTATAAAAAAATAATATTCATTAAGATATCTTTATTTAACTACAATTATAATAAATTATTTTATAATAAATTCTGACATTTAATGCAATAAAAATAATCCCTCCATTTTTAAAGTGCGCATCACTCTAACCAGCATAATTTTTTAAGGAGATTGGCTTGAATTCTATAAATAATATGCACAAAAAAATTGATACATTGTATAAAATTTCATAGTATCAACTAATTATAATAATTATACAATCAAAATTATTAAAGGTAAACTAATGTTATGTATCAACACAATGTATATTAAAGTATTTCAGTTACTTTAGGATGATTTTTTTTTTTTTTTTTTTTTTTTACAAAAACTTTAGGATGATTAATTTTGTAGGGTACCCCTCCGTTTCTTTTTATTGGTTATTATCAGATTTTATATACTATTAATAATACTTCCCCTGTTTCTTTTTATTGGTTATATTTAGATTTTAAACAATATTCATAATACTCCCTCCGTCCCAAAATATATGAGACGTTGGACTTTTTTCACTATTCATGTATTAGTTTTGATCATAATTTTTTACTAACATAATAAAAACATATTTTATCATAAAATATGTTGTTAAATAGGTATATATATAAAGTTTCAAAATATAATTTTTAAAATAATTTTCATTAATATTTAATTATATACAAATAAATTCAAAGTAGTGCATTGACATGTATGCAATGTTGACTGTGTCATGTATTCTGGGATAGAGGGAGTATTAGATAATCTTCAAATTTACTCACAAAAGTAAACGAGTTATGTGAGATCATGTTTAATTCGTCTCAACGAATGCTCTATTAATATTCAATCGTTATAATTTAAAAAGTATGTAATGAATAATAATCAAATAGGTGTATTAACAAACACGTAAAAGTCAAAACGTGTCCAATAAAAAGCGACGAAGGGAGTATTATACTTTAGATATAGGGTAATTTTGTGAAAATTTAAGAAAATTTTACCAACAACTACCATTACAATGACTACTTTGAGAATAACTACCATTTATTTATTTATTTTTTTGTAAGAAAAAAAACTCTAAAAAAATCTACCACGAAAACCTTGAGTTACACAACTACATTTAATTTCTTGGCAATAATCTCCAATTGAGGAAGCTAAAAAATCGGCCGTTTCAACGGCGAGGGAAGGGAGGAGGGGCGGTTTCATCGACTTGAGAAGGGAGGGGCTATTTTGGGGATGGGGGAAGGGGGGTGGTTTCGATGGTGTAGGTGGGTCGCCCGAGTGTTTTTAGGGGTAGGAAAGGGTCGACCGGTTGTTATCGGTTGCTAGGGGAGGGGGGCGGTCGAATTTCGGTCGGGCTGGGGGTTGGGGCTAAGGGGAGGAAGGATGGTGGCTGGCTGGGAAGGGTTTTTAATTATTTATTTTTTTTTTACAAAAAAAAATTTGGACCAATTATGTTGCGACACATCACACATGGCTTTTACAAAATAAAAATCACCCTTTCTTTGAGTCACTGGTAAATCGACCTAGTGGAAGAAAATCAACTCAAAAGTTCATAGTGCTCCCTAATAAATGTAAGTTGGGATTATTGAGAGTAAATCGCTGAAAGTTCGGATTAATAAATTAAAGTGAATTTTCTAAAATATAAAACTTAGATTTTGGAAGCACCTAATATAATAGATCAAAAAGCGAAGACAAGTCGAATTCAAGGTTAATTGGAGGATGAAATGGAGTCGTTTGACTCTTGGAATTGCCCTTTTTAATCTCTTTAGTTTTAATAAAAATGTGTTCCTTTAATGAAAGAGGTGTTACTTATGTTTGTTGGGAGATGTAGCAAAATTTCAATTTCAGATTTACATAAACCCTTGTTGAAGGAGGATGGTAGTAGGTATTGTTAAACCCATTTGTATTTGATTTCAGTAAAAGTCATTACAATATCATGACATTGTATGAGAATATATACTCCCTCTATCCCACAATATAGTTTAAGTTTTCCTATTTTAGAGACCCAAAATGTTGTTTCTGTTTCTATTTTTAAATAGTATGTAAAGACTATTATACTCTTATTTTTTACTTTATTCATTAAACTTCCTAATTTACCCTTAACTTATCCACTTGCATTGTACTTTTTTCACTTTCTCTCTCTAACTTTTGTCTATAATTGTACTTTTCACTTTTCCCCCCATTAAATTATCCTCTTGCCTTGTACTTTTGTTTAGCTTTTTTCCACTTTTCCTCCCATTTCTTAAATACAGTGAAAAAAACACAATAAGAACTATATTATGGGACGGAGGGAGTATCTTGTCAGATCACAAAGAAATGTGATTTTATCCATTTTATCTATTTGAATTATTGGGGTCCCTTAGGGTAAGACATACTGATTTTGGGTTGTCTCCGTCATTTCAGCAACATTTATAGACTTTTAATTGTATGTTAGAAAATACCTTTCACAACACGAAACATCATCACCAACTTCCCCCGTTCTATCAATAGTCCCATCGCATGTTTAAATGTATATTGGTAAGCCTTATATGCGTTGTCCTCACTCGTTGTAATAGCTAAAAGGTAAATGTCGTTAATGACCTTAATCAGTGGCGGACCCAGGAATTTCCGACTGGTGAGTCACAACCCAGGAATTTTGAGTTGAATAATGAGATGGAGATGAATGTTGTTCACTTTCTTGAGGTGGAGATATAATTTGTTCATTTTGTGTTGGATGTGGAAGAGAAGTTGGAGTAGGATTCTTTTTAGCAAAGAAGCTAGCAATGTTTTGCATTTCGTTTGGAGTGCGTTTTCTCTTCATTCTGAAAATTGAATAAATAATCAACTAAATCAAGCAATATTCCCAAGAAAAATTATTTACAAAGATCATCCAAATAGAAAATTGACAAGATTACAATACTAACTAATAATTAACAAGCTAATAATTGACAACATGACAAGCTTAGCTCTCTAATAATTAACAAGCTAATAATTGACAACATGACAAGCTTAGCTCTCTAATAATTAACAAACTAATAATTGACAAGATTACAATCTGTACAAGCATTAGGGTGTATTGACAATTTGACAGACATAATTGACTATATCATTAGGGTGGGTCGACTATATCATAAGCAATCGTCCGAATCGCCAATCAAATCAGCACATATGCAAAACCCCATATAGATCTACCAAAGCCAATGGTGTATTGACAATTTGATAGACATAATTGACATCAATAAACACCCTAAATAAACACTGACCACAATTCACATGGTCAAAAAGGTTCAAATTTCATCAAAAACCCAACAACATTAACAAAAGGTTCAAAGTTTACCAAACAAACAACAACCAAATCAACCAAAGTTTCAAACTTTTACCAAAAAACTAACAAAATCAACGAAATAGAGAGAAGAATGAGATACCCAATCAGTAGGATCAGCATTCAGCGCTAACAACATCCATATGACAACCCACAAAGGAGACGACCTTGCTGGGCTCAGGGTCGTGTGGAGGCAGTGGAGCCGCCTGTGTGCAGCAGCAACAGTGAGCCAGTGACTGGAGGTCTGGCCGTCTGGTCCGCTGGTCGTCTGGAGGTCTCACGGAGTCGGCTGCCGGCGGGAATGCGGGATTTGGGTGAAGATGAAGAAGCGAATTGGAAGAGCAGGGGCAGGGGCTAGGGCTTGAGGAGTTGAGGAAGTCGGGACTCACCAGGCTGAAGTTAGAAAATAATTTTTTTTTTTTTTTTTAAACTTAGAGATTTTTTTTTGGGCCCTGGTGAGTCATTTGGCACAAGGCCCAGTCCGCCACTGACCTTAATTGATATTGTGTAAGGGCTTCTTATGCCAATAGTAACTTATGTTACTTATTGTCCTTTCGTTTGTTGTAAACTCAATTTAGTTAATGTAATTTCAGCTGTTTTTTTTAAAAAAAAAAATCTAAAAAACTTACAAAGAATTGATACAAGCTTAGTGTATGAAAATAGTTAAAAATATTTAAAACATGTTTACATAAAACCTTTATAAAGCCCACCTGTTTCATAATTAGACGATCATATAAAGATCCGCTCCATTTATTTATCAGAAGGATCTAACCCACATTATAAATATGGCGGGTCATGGCTTTTAAAGGCCTCCGTTCATATTTCCTACCTCTCTGAGTTATTTCATTGAAGTGCACTCAACGTTCTCCATTGAAGCGTTCTCCGTTGAATCTAATTCTTGTATCCCCCATTGAAGCAGCTTCTAAGGTAAGTTGTTTGTTGTTGTTATCATCTAATCTAATTTAATCATCTTTAAGTTTAGGGTTCGTAAATTCTTAGATTATGAAACATCATATCCAAAAGAAAAGAAAATTATGAGCGTAATTTGATTCTTGAATCAAATATCCCTAAAATTATGTATTTTTCGAGATAATTCAATATGAAATCAAATCTCTTTTCCCTGGGCCTAAGGCGGCCGCCCCTCCTGCCCTGGCTCAGGGACGGGCCTGCACTTGTTGTGTGCTAGGTTGTTCTAGGGTAGTGTTGCGGTGCTCTGTGTGCAAGGGTGCTGCTGTTTGTTCGTGTGTTGCGTGTGCTAGTGGTTTTTTGATATTCGTGTTTTCACTCTTTGGTTCGTTTTCTTGATCAGTATTGTTCTTTGGCTCATGATACCATGTAGAAGAATCATTCGTGTTTCTCATTAATGAATACTCGTAATATGAAGTATTTAGTCAACATCATCTGAATTGACTAGAATTAGAATAAGCTAGCTTTTACTTGCACACCAAGCAAAGTATACACAGGCATGCATATAGCACATATTAATGTTTAATATAATACGGCTTTAAATTTGGTTTTGTTGATATAATGCTATTGTAATTTATGATTTATTGGGCTGTCTTTATTACGGATTGCCTTAGTCTTGCTTGAATGGAGGTTGTATTGTTGACATGTTGAGTGCTCTGGTTCGTTTAATGTTGATTTCAAGATTTTAGTTTTCCACACGTTTGAGAAAACGTCTGTCTTTGTAACATGTCATAGAATTTTATGTGAGGATCTTTCTTAGTCTATGTAGTTAGCTGATTTTTACTTTCTTACAATTTTTGGGTAATATGATGTATTTCTGCTCGTGTTTTTGAATTTACTGCAGGATTTATGATTTATTTTACTCTTGCTTTGTAGATTCAGAAAAACAGAACTTGTTGAACAAATCATAAAAAGAAGAAAATATGGCTTCACATTTCTGGCAGGTTTGTTTTCTATGACAAATGTTAATCCTTCTTTCTCATTTTAGTTATAATTGATATGTTGAGTAGACTTATTTTCTTTCCTTTTTCTGTTCTGTAGCGCGGTAGTGACAGTGATAGTGATAGTGACTCTGAGGATGAGATAAATAGTGGTTTTGATGGTGTTAAGGTTATAAAAAATCCAAGCATATATCTAGAGCCCACTCTTAGAGATGACACAAAGTCAACTCCTTGCGACAATGATGAGGCAGATGATGAAAAGCGAGTTCTCATTCCTGCTAAGAATAAGCGTTTCCAGGAGATGTCTGCTACTGTTGAGCAAATAAAGAATGCCATGAAAATCAATGACTGGGTGAGCCTACAAGAGAGATTCGATAAGATAAATAAACAGTTTGAGAAATTCATGCGTGAGGCTGGCAGGACTTCCAACATCTATGTAAAGGCCCTTGTGTTGTTGGAGGATTTTCTGAGTGAGACTTTGTCGAACAAGGAAGCTATGAAAAAGATGAGCAGCAGCAATGCAAAAGCATTGAATAGAATGAAGCAGAGCCTAAAGAAGACCAACAAGCAATATGAAGATCTGATTAACAAATTCAGGGAGAATCCTGAGGCCGAAGATGAAGGGGATGAAGAGGAGGAACCTGTTCAGAAGCTGAAAGAACCTGATGAACCTAGAACAGGAACTGAAAAACAGACTGATAAGGTGGATCAGATGAAGGACAACTCTGATCATGGTGATGAATGGCAAGAAAAGTTTTGGAAGGAAAGTGAGAAATTCATGAAAAACCTAAGCGAGATAACATGGGATACAGTGAACAAGAAAGTGAAAGAAATCATTGCTGTGCGTGGTAGGAAGGGAACTGGGAGAATGGAGCTAGTTGAGCGGCTCACCTTTTTGAGTAGGGTTGCAAAGACGCCTGCTCAGAAGCTGGAGATCCTTTTCAGTGTTGTATCAGTACAATTTGATGTCAATACTAGTCTTGTTGGACACATGCCAATAACTGAGTGGAAGAAATGTGTGCAGAATATGTTTATTATACTTGATATTCTCACACAATATCCAAATATTTTGGTGGATGATACAATAGAACCAAAAGAGAATGAAACACAAAAGGGTCCTGACCATAAGGGTACCATTCGTGTATGGGGTAACTTGGTAGCCTTCCTTGAGAGGTTAGATGCCGAGTTTTTCAAGATCTTGCAGGGTATAGATCCTTATACGTTTGAATATGTTGAGCGGCTCAGGGATGAGCCTTTGTTTTTGGCACTGGCACAAAATCTCCAAGAGTATTTGGTGAGAACTGGAAATGTAAAAGCAGCAGCAAAAGTTGCCCTTAAACGTGTTGAGTTTGTGTATTATAAACCTCAAGAAGTTTATTATGCAATGAGGAAATTTGCTGAACAATCAGAAGAACAAAACGATGAAGCTGCAGGTGAGACATCCAAGGGGGCTGATGAGGGTAAGGGCACCCCTTTGTTTGTAGTAACACCTGAACTCTTGCCTAGAAATCCTAGTTTTCCGGATTGCAGCAGGGCCTTTATGGATAGCTTAGTTTCTCTCATTTACCAATTTGGAGATGAGCGAACTAAGGCTCGTGCTATGCTGTGTGATATATACCACCATGCCGTTATGGATAATTTTTCGATTGCTCGTGACTTGTTGCTGATGGGTCACTTACAAGACACAATTCAACATATGGATATTTCAACCCAGATATTGTTCAATAGAGCTATGGCTCAGCTTGGTCTCAGTGCTTTTAGGGATGGTCATATTGCTGAAGGACACAGTTGCCTTTCTGAATTATATTCAACTGGAAGAGTGAGAGAGCTTCTTGCACAAGGATTCTCTCAAAGCCGGTATTATGAGAAGACTCCAGAGCAGGTATGACCGGATAATATAGTTTTATATTTTTACATGTGCAGGGTGCAGCACTGTTACTGTTTTCCATAATTCTTATGTGCACAGATGTTATGATCTTTTGTTGCAATATTTAGCTATATTTTTGGATGAATTTGTTTGATGTATTTTATCACCATTTTCATTGCACTTGCGGATTTAGTTTGATGCCTGGATTTGTCAAATTGAAATTTGGTTTAGGTGTTGAGCTAGGTTTAGACAAGAGGGGTCATTTAACTCTTCTTGGCTGTTTAGAGACCCACATAAAAACTGCTAGAATGTGGGTAAAAAAGTTGTGCTTTGATTCGAACCCTTCAATTGAGATAGCTCGGGGTTAGTTAACTTATTAACTGTAACTGCTGAATGATAATTTTGCTTGAGATTTTGGTAGTCGAAGTGGTTCACTCACTGTCTGGCGGTGTCTGAATATAATTATAGAAGAAAGCAATCAACCATGACTTTTCAGATCATGCTACTAGAATGTGGCAAAAGGCCACTCTTTTAGCATGTGTTAAGTGGGTTGAGTGAATTGTGGTATTTAGAGAAGAATCAGTAAGTGGATTTTTCTATTTTTGGAGTTATTCAAAGGATGTATAGTATAGAAAGCAAGTGCTTTAGTTTGAAATATATGGGAGGAAGAAAATCCATAAAGTAACTAGTACTATTTAATTCTTCAATTACTGATTGAGGTGTGTTGAGGTTTTGTATGTCAACCTGAATTATTGTAGTAGATTAGAACTTTGTTCTCAGAATGATTCCCTATATTACACTTTGTGCTCTTCTTATATGTGTAAAGGAGGCATTGTTTGCATAGAGTAAAAAATTATAGAGAAGCTTGTGGATATCATCATACTGCCAATATAGTTTGCAGAACTGTCAAGTTTACTCTGCATTTGGCTGAATATATATGTGCTGTAGTGAGGATTGAACATCTGGGAGACTTAGCTATGCTTTAAAGAAACAAGGGAGTTATCCATTAACATCGGTGTCTTTTATGAACCTCTCTTTCTCGTTCTTGGGAATGCTATATAATTTTACAACACTCGGTCAATTTTTATGCATATTACTTGTCATCTTAATGCATATTACTAGTACGGAGTATTTCTTTACTTGTTTATGAATCTTACTTTTTTTTTTGGAACTTATAACAGGAAATGAAAGAAAGAAGACAACAGATGCCATATCACATGCACATCAATCTGGAACTCTTGGAAGCAGTTCATCTGACCTGTGCCATGCTGCTGGAGGTCCCCTATATGGCTGCGAACACCTTTAAGTCTCAGCACAGGGTCATAAGCAAGACGTTCCGTAAATTGCTTGAAGCTAGCGAGAGACAAACATTATGTGGCCCACCTGAAAGTGTGCGAGATCATGCTGTGGCTGCTACTAGAGCTCTCAATCAGGGCGATTTTCAAAAAGCCTTTGATGTCATAACATCGCTGGCCATATGGAAGCTCCTGAGAAACAAAGAGACTGTTTTTGAAATGCTGAAATCCAAGATGAAGGAAGCTGCCTTAAAGACTTATCTATGCAGTTACTGTGCTTCTTACTGCAGTTTTCTTAGCCTTGATCGGCTGTCTAATATGTTTGACCTCTCAGAGGCTCAGATACACAGCACTGTGAGCAAGATGATGGATTCTGAAGAGCTGTGCGCTTCATGGGACCAGCCAACCCGGTGCATCATCTTCCACCAGGTTCAGCACACTAGTCTGCAGAATATAGCTTTCCGTTTGGTCGAGGAGGTGTCTTATTATCTCACCAATAATGAGCGAGCAATGGAGGTCAAGTTGGGTGGTGGTACGTTGGATGGTTTGTCTCTCAGGAGGAAAGAAGGATCAGATTATACTGAGGTTGCCTCTGCAGGCAGTGAAAGTAGGTTGCTAGATAATGCATATTCCAAAAGGAGGTCAGTTGGCCGTTTGGTATATGGTGGAAAGACATCAACTACTGGACAGATTAATACAAGCGGAGCAAGCTCTTCTTCCATGCCAGGATTTCAAACAGATTCTTCAGCTCAGATGGTTTGGCTTAACCACAGGGTTTGTTGATTTAATGATGCTTTCAGCCTACAAAAACTAAGTTCCTTTCCTCAGTTGAATACATTTGCATCTCTTGCACTCTTTGTAAGGTTTTTAGTTTTGAAACACGTAATTACTTTTTCACAAAGAAAGTACGAATTTATCTGTTGTTTTTGGGTGTTTACAATGATTTTTGTACTGATAGCTATTGTGAAAGTGCAACACCAATACACCATCCATTTTTTTTTATTGGTCATCAGGAAATCTATTTCAATTTTATGTTAGGAATTGGCAAAGGGGAGAGATTTATGGGTAGTGCAATCGATTTATTCTAATATCTTGAGGAAGATTGTCGGTATGTAGAGAAAGATTAAACTAGGATCAGCAAATGTTATAAATAAGGGAGAATAGGCAAAGAGAGAATAGGCAAAGAGAGGCGTCCAGAGTATTGAATGCCTTGGCTTAGTTTTAGCTCTTGGGAGTGAATCAGGCCACTCAAAACTTCAAAGTCGGACATTCTATTCTTTATTTTGCTGTGATTCAGATTTATCAGTTTAAACTCTCTTCAAATTTTACTACCTGCTTTAGAAATCTCAGTTAATAACATTTTCCAAATGGCGTTACAAAGATAATAACAAGTTGTATACATGATCAATCAGAAATTCACAGGATATATCTTTTCTATTAGGAAGAATTTGGTCTGTGGTATGAAAAAACTGCATAGAAGCTCTGTAACGCAGTAAGACACAATAGAAAGATAGCAGCAACCAGTGAGATGGCAGACCAAGGATTGTGAAAATACTTTTGAAGCAAGCTTGCTCGCCATCTATTTCTTCTCTGGCTGTAGTACGCGTTCACCTCTTTAGATAGATCTGCATAGTAACCATCATGTACATTCACGAGCATTTCTTTACATACGCTCTTGAACATGTCAACAGCTTGAGCGCCATCTCCAAGAATGATTCCATGACGATGAAGGTGGCCTACATCTTCTGGGGATTTTAACAAGCGTTCCATGAAGACCACATATGATGCAATCACACCATCACTTATCTTCATATGACAGTGCTCAAAGGCTGTTATATTCAGGAGAATGGTCTTTGTATTATCATGTATGCAAATGGGAGGGATTTCAAGAACCCCGTTCTTGAACCTGAAGTCCAAAAAACAGCTGGTGTTCCGTTTCCTGAATTTTACTCCTCCCTTTCTGAGCTCAGTCACACTATGTAAGACTTGTTCACGGCCTGAAATACTATCCGAGGCTTTATTCTCACATAGGCAATGTAGCCACCGCTTCAAACACATTGGGATCCATCGAAATCTATGTTTATTAATGGTACCCTGTTGAGGCCTTACATGGAGTAGACTTCGCCTAAAAACATCAAGGACATGAAGGCACTCTTCCTGCTTCAGTGAACGGTTCAGTTCATTGAGCTCGTTTACAGACATTCTTATACCTGTCATAGTACATATTTAGGATGTAAAAAGGTGTACCATATATATTCTGAGATGCATCTTAGTTATCACAATATGATAATCTTGCTATATGTGGCTTTCTCTATGTTCTAAATACATTTAAGTATTAAACGCGAAATTCCAAAATTACCTGTCAGCCATTTAGGATTGAAGAAGTTCAGAACTAAATCCAAAGCCTGATCATTTTGGTGCTGATTTCCGTTCATTAGCTTAAGTAGCCTGTCAATAATAAAAAGTGGAACTTGGTTCTCCAACATTACCATGTCTAACACAATGCCTTCAACAATTCTCTTATTAGCAAAGACAGGGTTACCGCCTGTTGTGCCTCTAGCCGGATAATATCTCAGGAGCTCGAGGATGAAACAGCCATCAAGAACCATCATCTCTACAAACTTGTTGCTGCTTAGATGATTGACTTGTTGATAACAAGCTCGTGCTTGATCTTCAACTTGACTGACGGTATCAAAGTAAAGGCTTAGGTTTTGACCTGTCCGTCTTAAGATTTGGTACAGAGCAACCCACTTGTAAAGATCCATATCCTGAACTAGTTCACTACCAATATGGTACGGCCCTATGGATATGGTCTGGGGCTCATAGATTTTTTTGCTCTCTTGGGCATCTCTTATGCGACGAGGCATTCGATATATGCAACACTTCTCCCATGATTTTCTTGTAATAAATTGCTGGGCCTCATTGAGTTTTTCCTGTATGGATATAACCCACTCTAGTTTTTCTTGAGAACTCATTTTTCTAGTGGTTGCTGTTTTTCAATCTTTAGTGAAGATCAACCAATATATGCAAATGATGTCTAAAAAATATTACAGGAATGATGTTTTCATGTGAATCATGTAACAGTATGTGATTAAACTACATTAGTAGTATATCTGAATTTTCTTTGCTGCTTCCGAGTGGGGCTAATTGCCCTTGATTAAAGTTAATGCTCAAGATTCAGGTCAATTGTAATTCTTTTTTTAATGCTGTAGTAGTTTCGCTTTTTAAGAAAAGACATGAAACATACTAGGCAATTACTGAGTAAAAGTTCGCAGTTGGTGGTTTGGTTTTGAAAAAAAACATCAGGAAATTTCAGATTTCTTTCCTTTAGAGCTGACTTGGTCAATGTATGCGCGTATTTAAGTTAAACTGAGTGAGCTCAACTAGCAGCACAGCAAGAGAATCCTGTAAGTTTGTAACAGTCAGTTGAGTTGAGTAAAAAACAGTTGGAGATCTGCTATATATCTCCTCTATGTCTGGTTTTGAAAGACCTGTCTTGAAGTTGAAGGGTATGCAACATTCCAGCAGTGAGTCATCTCTACATCTGAAAGTAGATGAATCACCTCAATCATCGGTCAGCGAAGAAAGGAAGGTAACTGTTGCTTTTTTTTTTTTATTTTTTATTTATTTATTTATTTATTTATTTTAAAACGATTTAGGCCCCATTTAATTTAATTTAAAAAAATTAATATTTTATAAGAATAATTTAAGGTTCTTGCTCCACTTTCCTTTAGTACGTTGTAGCTGTATTATATTAAACCCTCCGTTTCATATTGTTACTCCCATATAAAATCAATTACATAAAATAAGGAAAGAAGAATATTTGAAATCTAATATTAAAGTACAAAATTATTCATAATTAGTTTACCTTAATTAAGTTTTTGATTTTTTTTGGGAAAGCATAAGTCATAATTGCATAATTCAAGGTAGAGATTCCTTTACTTAGAGTCATATTATCAATCCACAACAACAATATTTAGTAAAAAATGTAACATATTCAATACTAGGTTAAGTCCCGTGCCATGCACGGTACGTTATTTTAGTTACTTTTGACAAATTAAATTATTTATAGCATAAAATATAAAAATTGTTTAATATCTTGAACAAAATTGAAGTAACATGGAATATTTGATCAAGATCATATTCTTAAAAAATATTCCACCAAAAATACATCTTCTTGAAAAAGATTATATATTTCCTTATTATTCCGCAATTAATTGAGTATCAACATAAAAATGTTAGATATTATTGCTCATATATATAGTTGATAAAAACAAACTTTTTTTAAAAATAACTTCCTTAAATAAAATTTAGTAATTAAATATTAAAAAAATATACTAAGAACACACCAAAAATTGACACGTGTCATTGCTGGTGTGTCTTTTAGTATATAGTTATTGATTATTGATGGGTAGATCTTTTTAAAACGCCCATAATAGTACTTCCTCTGTTTTTTTTTATTTGCATTAGTTTGGCCGGTACATTTGCCGAGATACAACTTTGACCATTAACATCTTTAATTGTCTATTAGTATAAATTGTAACAAAATTATATTATGAAACTAGACATTATGACTAATCTAATGATATATTATATAATAACATTTATTTATTTTATAGAAGTGAAAAAATTAAGTCAATTATGGTATGTGAATAATGCAAAAATCAAAGTGATGCATTTTAAAAAAAAAAACGAAGGGAGTATATGTGAATAACATTGTGAAATAGAGGGAGTAATTGTTTTATTTTCTTTTTAAAAAACTTTTCACGATATTTTACTAATTTTTTCTCCTATAATGGATCCTAATTATTATACTTTAATATTTTTAGATTCTCTCTCTTCCCAACTAACATACAAAGTACTTTATTTTCCATCAACACCATTTTCTTCATATTTTATTATTTTTTACTATTTTTCCTAAACTTTTATGTATGGAGAAATGAAATAAGTGATAAAATACATGAAGAGTAGAGAATAAGTAAAATTAGTTTCAATTTAGTAAAATTGGGCGGAAATCCACACCTTATGCTTTAGAGCGGAAATTATTGAGAGATCACTCATTGTATATATACAACTATTTCCGTTGCTTTGGGTGGGATATGATAATCTTCAAATGGTTTGCCTCCTTTTACTACTCCCATCTTAATTTTTGAATTTGTTGTTTTCTAATTACTACAATTCTCAATCATCTACTTTAACAGATCACGTCAGAACCTTATCAATGCAATGGTAGTCGTCAGCGTGAATCCAATAAAGAGGAATCCAAAGAAGACGATAAGAAACCCCAGGGATGCATAATACTTCTTCAAGCAGGGGTTGCTTTACTGGACGAGCCATTGATTGAAGAAAGGCGGCCCAACCAAGGGATTATGTGGCAAATGGAACCCAACGTCATACAGGTTTTGTGAGCTCATTTTTAAGTGACAATTAAATGTCATTGGTTGCCTGCCTTTCACATCCTTCTGATTAATATTGTATCTTCCTCTATATATTTCGTCCTACTCTTTCCGTGTTTTAATAAGTTTTATACATCCTTTTTTTTTGAAAAAAAAAACTACAGTAAAATATACTTCATCCTTCCCATAATACTTGACAAAGGTTCCATTTTCTCCCATCCCACAATATTTGACACGTTACTGAAAGAATATTTGCCGTGCCTTTCTCATTACTTGAAATCATCAATATATACAACGATCAGTTAACAGAAACTAACTTAGGATAATTACCATACAAAGATAATTATGAATAATACAAAAGATAACTACAATACAACCTATTATACACAATAACAGATTTTGTTACATAAATCTAACACACCCCCGCAGTCGAAACGGTAGGTCGGCGAACGTTGAGACTGTCCCGGAAATCATCAAATAAAACTCTAGGCAGACCCTTGGTGAAAATATCTGCAATCTGATATCGGGAAGGCACATGTAGAGCACGAACTTCGCCTCATTGGACCTTTTCGCGAACGAAATGAATGTCCATTTCAATATGTTTAGTGCGTTGATGTTGAACTGGATTACTTGATAAGTATATAGCACTAACATTATCACAATAAACCAATGTCGCCTTAAAGATAGGACGTTTAAGCTAAAGTAGAAGATTCCGAACCCAACATGATTCAGAGACGACATTAGCAACCCCACGGTACTCAGCTTCAACACTAGACTTAGACAAAGTAGGCTGCCGCTTAGAGGACCAAGAAATCAAATTATCACCGAGAAAAACACAATAGCCGGATGTGGAACGGCGAGTATCTGGACACCCACCCCAGTCAGCATCCGTGTAAGATAGAAGAGAAGACACAGATGACTTGAATAAATGCAGACCAAGATCAGACGTACCTTGAATGTACCGAATAATACGTTTCAAAGCCGACATATGCTCAACCAACGGAGCATGCATAAATAAGCAAACCTGTTGTACAGCATATGAAATATCCAGGCGAGTAAAAGTTAAGTATTGCAAAGCACCACATAATTTCCGGTCAACAGGGGTAGCAGACGACTTGCAATATGACATCCCTGCTTTTTCTATAATTTCCTGAGCATATTTCTTTTGAAAAAAAAATAAACCTGTTTTAGTATAGGAAATAGCAATACCCAAGAAATAACTAAGCTCACCCAAATCAGTCATAGCAAATTCAAACTGAGTCTGGAAATAATCTGCTGGGGAAGAGACTTAGAAGAAGAAGTAAGAACAATATCATCAACATACAGTAGAATGTAAGCTGTAGCGTTACCATGGTGATAAATGAATAGAGAGTTATCTGATTTGCTATGAACAAATCCGATAGATGCCACAAAGTCAGCAAACCGTTGATACCAAGCCCGGGGAGCCTGTTTCAAACCATAAAGAGACTTTCGAAGCAGACCGATATGATCAGGTCTAGCAGGATCTTTGAACCCTAGTGGTTGATACATGTAAACAGTTTCATTCAAATGACCATGTAAAAAAGCATTTTTAACATCCAATTGATGAATTGACCAAGACTTAGATAGTGCAATGCTAAGAACTAGTCTGATGGTAGCCGGCTTGACAATCGGGCTAAAAGTTTTATCACAGTCTATCCCCTCTCGTTGGGTCTTACCATCACCAACTAAACGAGCCTTATGTCTCTCAAAAGAGCCATCTGCTTTTGTTTTGTGCCGAAAAATCCACAATGATCGAATAATATTGACATTATTCGGGCGAGGGACTAACTCCCAAGTACCATTCTTAATAAGAGCATCATATTCATCCTGCATAGCAACTTTCCAATTTGGGTCACGAATGGCAAGGACCGGGTTCTTTGGAATGGGAGATATGGTGGGAGAGGTATGAAGAGCGTGGTATTTGGGATTGGGCTGAACAATTCCATGCTTGCTACGAGTGGCCATGGAATGAAAGATGGTGGAGGGAGGAGTAGGGATAGTTGCGGTGAGAGGAGGGTGGTGTGTGGGCATGTGGCAGGGAGGGTCGCAGCCTGTCCGCGGCGGCAAGTGGAGCGCCACAGGCTGCCTGCGAAGTAGGCTGCTGTGAGCTGTGTGTGGGCGAAGGGTGAGGCAGGGAGTTCCGCAGCCTGTCCGTGGTGTGAGCAGACGTGCCACAGGCAGCCTGCGAAGAGGACTGCCGTGAGGTAGGTGGAGGTGAAGCATGCTGTGGGTCTCCTGTGGCAGCACTTTCGGGTACAGCTATATGAGGAGTAATAGCATGGCGAAGAGAAGAGGTGTCTAAGACGTCCATAAATTCACCTAGGAAGTCATATGAATGTGACGTAGGAGTAAGAACTTTAGAGAAAGGAAAGACCGACTCATTAAACCAAACATGCTTAGCTATTATAATCTTCCGACTCGATATATCATAACATTTGTAACCCTATGATTCGAAGGATACCCAAGAAAGACACACGAGGTAGAACGAGATTGAAGTTTGTGTATTTTAGATGATGGAAATAGGGGAAAACATAAACAACCAAAGACTCGTAAGTGAGAAAAATCAGGATCACGTTGGTATAAAATTTGAGTGGGAGATCTATAGCCAAGAATTTTAGAAGGGATGATATTGTGAAGGTAAGTGGTCATTTCTAAAGCATGGTGCCAAAAAGAAGGAGGCATAGAGGCATGACAAAGGATTGTCCGAACAATATTATTAATGGTTTTAATTTTTCGTTCGGCTTTGCCATTTTGAGGAGAAGTATGTGGACAAGAAAAGCGAAGAGTCATTCCGTATTGATGACAGAAATTTGTGAATGGGGTATTATCAAATTCACGACCATTGTCACATTGGAAACCTTTCACTTCCCGTTCAAATTGAGTTCGAATATATGTTCTAATTCGTAGAAACAAATTAAACACTTGTGACTTAGTGGAGATAGGAAAGGTCCACAAAAAATTTGTGTAATTGTCAAAAAAGAGAACATAATATTTATGACCATGAGAACTCAAAACAGGAGACGTCCATAAATCACTATGAATGATGTCAAAAGGCATAGTAGTACAAGACAGAGAATCATAAAAAGGCATTTTTATTAATTTGCCTAGAGGGCAAGAATGACAAACATCGGGAATAGCCTTATTACATTTAATCAAATTACTACTACGTAAAGAACCAAGAACAACATTACCCGGATGACCTAAACGAGAATGCCACACACTAGGAGAAACAACTGTAAAAGCCGACGGAAGATGAGATGAAAGAACTTGACGATGTGCAAAGAAAGGATAGAGATCGCCACTGCTATTACACCTCACTATCTTGCTCCCTGTCTGCAAGTCCTTCACGAAAAATCCAAAAGGATCAAACTCAATGGATACATGATTATCAGTGGTGAATTTTCTAACGGAAATGAGATTTTTAATCAATTTTGGGACATGTAGGATATTTTTGAGTTGTAGTGTGTTTTGGTTGAGAGATTGGTGACCGTAACCCTTAATTGGAATTTTGCTACCATTACCAACGACGATTGCATTATTAATATGATTTCTTAAATTAAAATACGGAAATAAATTACCTTGAGAGTTAGTCATGTGTGAGGTAGCTCCGGTGTCCATGTAATAGTTAGGATCATGCAGAGACATAGTGTGCATTGCCTGTTCAATGTTGGTAGGCATAGCCCAAGAAAACCGGGATTGAGATTCTGTCCAGGCCGGGGTGCAGCCCACGGGTAGGGTCCTTGACCTTGAGATGGGTATGGGCATGGTGGAGTTGGCCAAGGGATTTGAGGCCAATAACCCCATGGTGGAGGATATCCCCAACCCATGTTGGCTGGCGAGCCACCAGAAGAATGCTGCTAGGATTGCTGTTGCTGATTACTTCGGGTTGACCCACTATTGCCTTTACCCTTGCTGCCACTGCCTTTGTTCTTGGCAGTTTTTCGGCCCCCACCCCCACGTGAATTGCCCCCACGAGAAGAAGAGGAATGCGTGGAGGAATCAGATGAAGGGGTCGAAGCCAGGGGAGCAGTTTTAGCAACGTGCACCTCCTCATGGGCTTCAATAGCAAGGTCAGTCGCATTACCTTGTTCCTCAAGTTCAAGCATGGAACGTAATGTATCAAACGAAGGCAAGGGGGTAAGATGACGAACCAAAGTACGGAAGGGCTTGTATTCCTCAAAGAGCCCTCTCAATAATTGAAGCGCCATCCAATTATCGGACACCCTATCACCCACGTTCTTTAAACTATCGGCATGAGTCTTAAGACGTGTGCAATAGGCTTTAACACCATCAAAATGCTCAAGCTTGGTGTTGGTGAATTGTGCATCAAGATTTAATGCTCTAGCAGACTTGTTGTTATGGAAGAAATTTTCAAGACGCTGCCATGTATCAATGGCCTTGTCATCGGGATCAATAATGGAGTTCAGAAGGTCATTAGAGATTGTACCGTAAATCCACTGTCGAACAATGTCATCAAGGCGTTGCCATAGAGCAAGATCAGAAGAATTCGGAGCCAGAGACTCATCATTAACTGGGTTAATATGATCAATGACCATATATGCGTGGCAATGGAGTTTAAAGAGGGTAGACCAGTTATTAAACTGAGAGCCATCATAATCAAGAACAATAGGGACATGTTGCTTGATATTGGTGACTAAGGTAGCCCGGATGAATATTCAATTGGCCAGCTATGGTGATTGGCCGAAAAAACAAAAGGAAAGAAAGAAGAAAAATGCGGAAGAGAAGTAGGGAAATAACCTAGACTCGTGATACCATGAAAGAATATTTGCCGTGCCTTTCTCATTACTTGAAATCATCAATATATACAAAGATCAGTTAACAGAAACTAACTTAGGATAATTACCATACAAAGATAATTATCAATAATACAAAAGATAACTACAATACAACCTATTATACACAATAACAGATTTTTTTACATAAATCTAACAGTTACTAAATACGGAATGGAATCACTAATAAAAAAAAATATATTCCCAAATTTTCTCTCTCCTCACCTACCCCACTTCCATCCCACTTGATGTTTTCTTGTAATATAAAAATATAAAAGAGAATATTTTATACAATAAACACATACTTCAAATAAACCCACTTGTAATTTTCTTAAACTACTTGTCTATCCCAACGTCCCAAGTATTATGGGACAGGGGGAGTAAGATCTATCTCTTCTCATAATCCCCACCCAAACTCACCACTACTTTTTTTTATTAATTTTTATTTTTTATGTTAATAAAAATTGCTTTAAATAATACCACCTTTCACCCGTCCGCTAAAAATAAGTTTACCTTTTGATTATCTCTACATAATACCACCTTTAATGCTACTTCGCTTTAATCAGGTAAAAAAAATTGTATCCGGTTACAGCTGGTGAACTGGTGACGTGTGTTCCTCTTCCCTTCTTTGCTTCTTTTATTTATCCCTTTTAATCTGTTCTTCGTATTTTTCGCAATTAAAACCTTCTCTTTGTTCCAGTCTTCCTTGTTCTTCGTATTTTTTTATGAAAGGTCCACTAAAACCTCTAATAAATGGTTGGCAAGTGGCAATCATCTAGTGGTTCTTCGTCAAGCTTTGCAAGGGAGGAAAACCAGAAAATTCGTTGCAGTTGTGGAAAGTATGCAGTGGTGAGATTTGTAAAACAGGGTCCTAACATTGGGATGAAGTTTTACGGCTGTCCCTTATGGCCGATTTGTTATTAATTATAAGTTGCTATCAATTTTATCAATGTTGATTAATTTGAGTTTGACAGGTTTGTAATTGGATATTATATTATTGTAGGACACTCAATGTGAGAAGCTTAGGTGGGTTGATCAGAGCAACCCCATGGAAGATCTTCAATATCATGTTTTGGAGAAGGAAACAAGAATTTGCGAGTTAGAGTATGAGCTACAGTGCAGAGATGATAAAATCAAGATCTTACAGTTGAAGAAAGATAACTTAGAAGAGGATGTTCAAGAAATGAAGAACGAAGTGTATGCGATGTGGGTAGAGATGATGAAGTGTTCGAGGAACAAGAATAATATATCCATGGCTTTGGTTTTTTCTTGGATTTTCTTTGCTGTAGTCTTGTTTTATCTCAAATTCTAGGTGGGGTTGTAATTTAAGATTTCCTTCAAGATTTAGTAAGGGGACTTGATTTGTCATATTTTGGTATTGTATTTGTAGTTGTTATGCAGTTACAATGGTACTTGAATAATGAAATGCAATCAGAACTAATTTGATAACATAAGCCTTGTCTATATAAATGTGAAAGCTGATAATAATAAAGTAGTAATTGAATATGGGTTGACATACAGAAGGATTGTTCAAAAGACTTAGCTTACACATGCTAAATTGTTTAAAAGACAAAGCAATATATACTAAATTATTGTTCAAAATACTTAGTGCTAATCATAGTGTCTATATAAATGTGAAAGCTGAAAATAATACAGTAGTAATTGCATATGGGTTGACATACAGAAGGATTGTTCAAAAGACTTAGCTTACACATGCTAAATTGTTCAAAAGACAAAGCAATATACACTAAATTATTGTTCAAAATACTTAGTGTTAATCATAGTGTCTCAAAATTACAGAATCTGAACCCAAGTTTTTATGGATGTTGTTGATGCACTATAGAGGTTTGGCTTGAATGTGTGGATATGTGTGGCTCTTGATTCCTTGCTCTGTTCCTTGTAAAGGGGGCCTGAAACATAATTTTTAAAATTTAAGTTAATAGTTAGCAAAGAACAGATTAAGCACATAACAGATGAAAAGAAGCTTAATTGTAGTACTGGGGTACCATCAGCACTGAAGATCACACCAACTCCTCCTCTACCTCTCCCCCTTCCTCCTCTGGTTCCCCTAACTAAAGGACCTACATTTGCACCCCTAGCAGAACCTGACTGAGTGACAGCACCACCTCTAGCACTACCTCTAGCACCCTTACCACTGTAAATTAACCTTCTACCCCTGCCTAAATGAGTTGGCTGTGCAGTGGTGGAATGGTGTTTTACACCTGCAGAAGAAGCTGAAGCACAGGTGGGGTCAATTACTTGCTGATCAGAAGATGTTGCTGCAGACCCATCTTTCCTAGGTCTTCCTCTTCCCCTCTTTGCTGCTGGCTCTAAGTGAACATAGTTGTCTTTGTCGGGACATCTCCTCTTATTGTGGCCTCTAACCTTGCAGAGACTACATGTCATTTCAAGTCCTGTTCTTGACAAAGAGCCTGGCTTCTTTGGGTTCTCATAAGGATCTTTGATCCTATTTTTTCTAGGTCTGCCAGGACCAATTTTGATGGCAGGGGGGTCTAAGTTGCAAGGTACTTTAGGCCAATGCCTCTCTTCTTCACATGGAGGGATAGACCCACCATAAACCCTGAGGTATAAATCCTTTTTATAACAATCATCCACAAAAGATTCAGCATCCTTGTTCTTAAAGAAGATACATGCTATGGCATGACAACATGGGACCCCTAACATGTCCCACTTCCTACATGTGCACTTCTTTGCGTCTAAATCTATTGTGAGTTGGTCAAGGAAATGCTTTACATTGAACAGTGTATCTGAAGAAGGTAAAACATCACAGAATGCAGCTTTACTTTTTTCCATTTCTAAGTTTGCTTGGATTCTAGGACAAAGCACAGAGGTTGACTTATGCATTTCTTGTCTTTTAGTCACTAACCTTTGCATCAAAGCCACTCTGATGTCCTCTAACATATATATCAAATGTTTTGTTCTGGCATTAATAATGTCTGAGTTGAACGTTTCAGCCATATTAGATGTTATTGCATCTGTCTTAATGTCAGAATTCAAGTAAGCTCTACAAAAGAGTTTAGGGTTATATGAAGTGAAAGCTATGGCTGCATCTGGATTTAACTCTCTCAACTCCTCTAAATACCCATTATAATTGCAAAGTTGTAGGATTTAGCAATTTTTTAGAATTGTATTTTCATTTCATCTCCTCTAAACGATCTATGCCCTAATGAAAAAATGTGTCTAGCACAGTGGCGATGCTCAGCTTTTGGTAGCATAGCAGAAACAGCATGAATAATAGAATAATAGCCTTGTAAAACCACAAGAAAAAGGCACACTTAGACATACCAATTAATACTCTTTTCAACTACAGATCATCAAACATACATATCACCAAATAGACCAATCCCTTCTTAAACAAATAGAGATCATCAAACAAAACCACCATTAACTAGTAACAAATAACTAAGTATGGTTTAGTGTTTACCTGGTGCTCATCTGATATAATAGCAATCCCAACGCCATCACCAAGCTCCAAATCAGTTTGCAAATGGGTAATAAACCATGTCCAAGATCAGTTGTTTTCACCTTTAGCTTCTGCCCATGCTATTGGGTACATTTGTTCATTAAAATCCCTGCCAACAGCACTTAGAATTTTCCCACCAAGGAAGGTCTTTAAGAAAGCTGCATCCACACATATGACTTTTCTGTAGCCTTCCTTCCAGCCTTGCTTAACTCCTTCAAAACAGGTGTAGAGTCTCTGAAAAATAGGTGGATTTGTCTACTTGGAAGTATCCACCACCAACTGAATAGTTGTTCCAGGGCTTGACTCCTTCACAGCTTGTATATACCTCTCAACTTTCATATAGTGTTCCTTCATGGAGCCATGGAGCATTCTATGTGCATGGTATTTGACTTTTTGTGCAAAATCCCTATTGACAATAACCTTATAAGCTCTCCTAATTGCTTCAATGATGTCCTTAGCTAGCCAGTGAGGCCTTCCTTTAAAAACCTCCAACATTTCTCTTGCAGCGCAAGTTGTTTTGAGCTGTATGTTCTTGTTCATGTTCCTATGGCAAGTGTGATTGCCATCCACCCTCTTCACCAAGAATGTAGCCTTCCTGGAATGCCATGCACCATACAAAAAAAAAGGACATCCTTCTACACATCTTACTCCTACATGCTATTGCCTGTTCTTGTTACTCATAACAAAGCTCAAATCCCTGCCCTGCATAATTGCATACCTAGCAACAGCCTGTTCAAAGTCACTCCTATTTGCAAATCTCTGACCTACTACCCAATTGAATGTAGAAAAATCAGTCTCACCACTCACAAGCATACTTCTCCTTCCCTTCCTTCTTGCTCCAGCGTTTTCATCATCATTACTTTCAGGTGTGTAAATCTCATCTTCACTGTTTTCATACTCACTAACATAACCACCAGCACCAGATCTTTCAGCAGCACCAAATATTTCAGCAGCACTTCCTGGTTTACCATCTAATTTTTTTGGACCTCCAAATCTTCCTTCACATACCTTTTTTTGAAGTTGACTTGCTATTTCAAGGATCTTGTTGTTGCAATTTGTAACTCTCTATGTAGCTAGTTCAATCTCTTTATCACTGTTGTCTAACTCACTAGTGACCAAATCAACCCTATCAAGACCCTCATCAACCTCAAAGTAATCATCTTCTACCTCTAGTTCAACATCAATTCCTTCATCATCCGCCTCCTCATCAGCCACAAACTCAAGATCTGATGAATCCTCATATTCAGTACTAAAATCACAAAGCTCCTTAAGGGTCAGTGGACTTTCTAGCCTATTATCTTCCCACTCATACTCTGGGGATGAATATGTGTTCTCACCACACATATGAGAAGGAATTGCTGGTTCTTGGTTGAGGGTTTGTTGTGCAGTTTCTAAGTTGGAAATAGTTATAGTAGTGGATGGTTGAGTCAAAGTGTTGTTATCAGCATGTGCTAAAGTAGATTCTTTGAGCCAGACAAAGAAGCTGATGTTGTTACATTGGATTCCTTGTGTTTCCTAGGGCTTCTTCTAGGTGGGCCCAGCTTTAGTGACTGTGGACCCTTTTTTGGAGTTAATTTTTTAGGCTTAGTTGGTTTGGGAGGTGGGATATTTTTTGAAATTAGTGAACTAACAGAAGGAGTTGGGTTTTCTGGTGACAAGTGTGGCTCTTCAACACTATGCAACACATACACATCAACACTCTTATGCTTCATCACTATCTCTCCCATTTCTAAGACTTCTGCATCCCCTACTATCTTTCTTAACCCATCTCCTAAAGACATCCCAAGAACAACATAATATATCCCATCAATGTTATTATAATCCCCACATTTCTTTCCAAAGTCAAGTAGCTCCCAATAACATAATTCATGTTAGTTTCTATCCTAATAGGACTCCCAAACGTCACCAAAACTAGGTATTTCTATCCTAATAGGACTCCCAAACGCCACCAAAACGAGCTGCCACAGGTAGGTTGTGGCACGGAGGAAATCGCCACAACCGGAATGTGGAAGGGGCTGCCTTCGCTTCTCCCTTGCCCGGTGACAGACTGATGTGGAAATTGTTCCTAAAATGTATCATGTGAAGGAACATAGTCCAACCACATTACGGTGCAATATCAAAATGTGTGCCACATTACGGTGCAATATCAAGGTGTGGTTCCATCTATATCTAATCAAGAAGGGTGCAATTTGTGTTATTCAAGTGCCTTAATGTGTGTGTCGTATGAGAGTTCCAAGGTTGTAATATTTATCATGAAATGGCATGGATTCAAATGTTGGCATATCGCTTGGTCAATGATGTTCATAAGTTCTACAAGTCCAACAGTCCATGTTGATGAAAGCTTGAGGGCAAGCTTTTTCGAGGAAGGGGGGAATGATCCGGAATAGATCCTTGACCAAGACCTTGTGCAACCTAATGAGTCTAATGGTTCAAAGAGTCCAAATACACGGTCTAAGGTCAAACAAAATCAAGTTCCTCTTGTCCATGGGCTGCTCCTACGAGGGTCCAAAGTGTCCAATGTTCCACGCATGGGTTTCAACATAGCTCCATCATTGTACAAGTCATGTGTAACTTGGATGCATGAGTAAGAAAGGTAGTTATTTTTGCCTTGGATTCTTGTCCGTATGAGCTTAACATAGAGCAGGAATATTCTCCTATTCCTAATCAGTCCACAAGCAAGATTTGAAGGCAAAAGACAAGGCATTGAAGCTAAGGGGGGTTACACGCATATTATGATGGTTCTTAATGGGAGAGTTACTCTCTTGTTGGGTGTTATTTTTAAGTGTAATTGCTTAGTAATTTGCCTTGTATTCCTTAGTTAAATAGTTGTTTTATTTTCAGCTTATAGTAGTAAATAGCTTAGCATTAAATTGCTGTAATAAAATGTCAACCGTTACAAGGGAGAAGTTGGGCGCAGCTACCGCGAGTTCCTTAAGGAACTTGTTAAGGAATTCCTGGAGGAACAAC